CAAGACAGATGCTACTGTGGAAGATACTGTTTCCCTAATTTATGCCTCAGAGAGTTTGTTGTTCATGTACAGGAAGGCTAATGATTTTTGAGTATTGACTTTATATCCAGCTATGCTACTGTATGTGCTTATTAAATCTACCAGTTTTCAGGTATATATTCTGATCTCCTGTCTCTATCCTATTCCACTACTTCCCGTCTTATGTTAAGAGTAGGAGAGAAAAGATTTTTATTCTTATTCCTCACTAGGTTCATTATCTGGGACCCCTAAAACAAAAGACAGTGTACCATGAGAGAAGTCTACAAATTTAAAGTTTTAAAAAATACACAGCCCTCAGTAATGAAGACCCAAAGAAGACCCCATGTATGTTAATGCTATGCTTCATAAAGAGTAGACAGTCATAAAAAAATATGACTGGAACAAAGCGTGTCATCTAGTAGTATTAAATGGGAGGACATTTAGCTAGGTCTGTTTGTCAGCTGCTTCTTGACATATCTGTCCCATTGAGGACAAAGATGTTCCTCTCCTGCAGCACAGGAAGGGAATCTCTGGAATTACAGCCCTAGAACCTGTCTCAGAGGGAGCTCACAGAATTCTCTGCTTCTGCTGTTTCCTCAAATTCCAAGATGCCGTATTTTGAATGGAGTATGTTGAACACTACCAGAAGACATAAAGAAAATTTAAATTTGTCATAATATGATTCTGATTTATCACAGATGCAACTACTCCTAAGGAACACTAATAGAAATGGTGAGATATACATAAACCAAATTGGACAGACTTGTTTTCAAGGGAACACTTAGACTGCTCTGTAAAGAATCACCTGCATGTCAGTGAGGGTAGAAGCAGGGAGAACAGGCAGATAATGATGGTAATAGAGCGGGTCGGGTCTGGAGGAGGTGGTTAGAAATGGCCAGAATCCAGGTGCATCCTGGAGGTAAAACTGCCGGGCTTTGCTAATGGTACAGAAACAGGGTGTGAGAAGGGAGAAAAACACAGGATGACTCTCAGGTTTCTGGACATACCAAATGGAAAGACAGATCTGTCACTTACTGAGAGAAAAACCAGGAAGGAGCAGCTTGAAGGAGAAACAGTTCAATTTTGGACGCACTAAGTTTGAGATGCATTCTTAGCATCCATGTGGAGATCTCCTTGGGTAAGTTAAATATTACCACGAAAGCATCCTTATCGACATTCGGGATCATGGATCACAAGTTCCAGAGCTCTCAGGAGTCAGGCCATCAACATATATAAGTACTAAACTCAGTAAAAAGGGAGGACTGTGGTATATCAGAAAGTACCAGCTAAACTGCAATCTACTACTGAGTCTATAGTGTTTCCATTAATTTATTAATATACATGGCCAAGAGACTTTGTTTAGTATTTCTATAATTTACCTGACAGAACTCTCTTTTCCTATATTTCATATATTATATATATAATATATATATTAGCTTATGAGTCATAGTTGATCATACACACACAGAGGCAATTTTGTAGAAGTCCTAAGATCTCATATTGGACTTCAGTGAAACATAAATGGAACAATTACTAAGACTTCTAACTTCTTTAACACTAAGTGGACTCCTGACCCCATGACTGCTGAAGAAACACTTGATGAAATCACAAGGGCACCGGGGCACTTTGTGTCTAACCTTTCTCCCTCCTTCATCTGTCATCTGACATAACTTAGTGACAGGATAGACAGTCAACTGCTACTCTGCGCAGATGTTCTTTGTTTTATTTATCCATGAGAAAGGGACAGGAGAGAGGTCAAATAAATCTGGATGGAATGTTAATTTTATAATATGAGATAGATTAATATGTTGCAGGTTTTAAAAGTATTCTCTAGGCTACCTTAAAACGCTATAGGTCCAAAGTTTGTCTCTGAATAATCAGGTTACACAGTCTGTTTAAGAGAGCTCCTGATACAATTGAGATCAGAACATAACAAGATCAGGGTACAAAAATGTCAGTGTCTTAAAAGTTCAGAGAAGGGAGAGGCTAATGCGGGTTTGGGTGGCCAGGGGAAAGTGTCATGTGAGTTGCACTTTGATGCACAGGAAGGCGTTGGGTGGGGAGGAGGGCGGTAGGATTTCCATGTGGAAAAGACAAGGCAGAGATGGAGGCAGGGCAGGCTTAGCACCCGTGAGCAGACTGTGGGCACAGGGGGGAGGAAATGGGATACCAGGCTGGACCAGATGATGGTGGTTGCTGGGTGCCATGCAAGGAAGTCTGGCTTTAATCACGTGGGTAATAGAGTCTTTGAAGATTTTCAAGAAGCAATCTGCCATATTCAGGACTTGTGATGGGGAGGTCATAAGGGAGGCAGGCGCCTGGGCAGGAGCCTGGGCAGAGGTAATGAGAATCTGGGCTGGGAGCTAAAGGGAGGAATAGAAGAAAATGATATTACGGAGGAAGAAATGACCAATAAGACTTAATATATGGAATATGGGAGAAGCAAACGTGAAAGGCATGGCATAGAGGCCAACTCTGAGAAAATGGTTATCTTAGAGCAAACTCATTTTTCTGGCTTTTTTCTTTTTCTTGAGATTGGGTTTCACTATGCAGTCAGGCTGGCCTTTAAATCACTTTTTAGCTCAGGTGGGGGCCTCGCACTTACAACCATCCTCCTACCTCAGCCTCCCAAGTGAGCAAACTGATTTATACACATAGATTTAAGGCAGATGGTGGTACACCTGAAATAATGTTCAGTCAGTTCATCAGTGGTTTGGGATTAGGGTTTGGGAAGCACAGGCAAAAAATGTACATCAAGAAACACCACTGAATTCATAGCTGTATGCTAGATCCTTTATCTACATGATTAATTTAGGACAGGAACAGAGTTGGACTTTGGCACCATCTGCATAGTTGCTGGTCACATCAGGAGAATGGAGAGAACACAATGACAAATTACTAAACTTTGTTTATGTCTATGAAAATAGTTACCATACAAAAATAGATGCATGCAAAAAGCACTGCCTCATTATATGTCACATCAAGATCACTCAAAATTTCTGGTTCTATAAATTCATTCTTAGTGTTTGGCAGAGAACGGACAAAGAAAGAAAAACAGAACCGTAATTGCTTTTTTCACTCATTTTTCCCTGGAGAGAGACGGACAGATACAAAACAAGAAGCAGGAAGGAACCAGAAGAGAAAATATTTGGGAGAGTTTCCACCTGCCAAAATAAGTAAGAATGAAAGGAAATATTATCCTTAATAAATGGCAGCATTTCTCAGTGTCTCTGGTCTGGAATTCATGACCAATATTCATACATGCGGTTTCATTCCTATCATGAAACTTTCCATCCACAAGCCAGTCAGGAGTCACACATTTCCTCTTCGTGCTCCCTCTGGCAGTCCAGGCTTTCTGCTGTCTCTGTTGTTTTGTACGCCAGCCCCGGAGCTCAGGTGCAACAGGCAGATAACGCGTGACAGATGTTTCTACAGCAGTCATCAGTCTTTCTAATTTGCCACAAGTCTCCAGGGCAAGCTGGGTCATTCCCTTCCTTTACCCCAGCAGCAGCCAGGAAGGTCATGCTGCTAAAAACATCTCTCACTTTTAATGTGAAGGGCAAGAGAAAAATGGAGAAACCCGAGAGAGACAGAGATAGTGAAAGGCAGAGACAAAGAGGGATTGGGAGACAGAGAGCAGGAGCTGAACAAGTGCAAACTGAATTTGCTAACTTAGCATCTCAGTGAGCAGTAGTGATTTAATACACAACTGTTTTCATTCATGGTTCTCTTTCTTTGGCTCCACAGATGCAGTTAGTATATTAACTGTGTGCAATCACATTTAACAGCGTATCTGCTTATCACACTTCACTTAACGATATATCTCCTTCTAAGGAACAGAGAGTATGGGTGCTTTCCTTGAAGAACCCAAAGACACCAGTGCAAAAAATTCCCCAGATCCTGCAGTGGAAATATTTGCCTGAGGATCTGTGAAAGCTATACATATAAGAATCCTTGGTTCTTACAGATTCCCCCAGCATTTTTTGCTAGAAACGGGAAGGGGAAGTATCAGGGGAGAGAGATTGGGGCATGCCCAGCAGTGCCTTTTCCACTATCTAGAAGAATGAATTCACAGCTGAACTGGGTGGCTCAAGACCCACATCTGCGATGGACTACTAAAAATTGATGCATATACTTCTAGAAGTTAGGCAATGTGCTCTGAACACATAAAATGGTAGTGGGGACAGAAAGAAATGAAGGGATCCTGCAAGAATGTTCACAAATCGAGAGTTGCTCAAATGAAAGTTTTCATAAAAACTGGTAAGTTTCCAGTTACACAATCAAAATTCTATCATAAAGCGATATTATAATGGAAAGTAGTTATTTTTAGATTTGTGTCAGCTTCACTGTTTGACAATGGAGATCTTTCATGTGATCAACCTTCACACAAGCCAGACAGAAAAGCATCACTAAGATAGTAACGATGTAACTGTAAACAAAAATAACTTACAGGATTGGCTCAAATGGCAGAACAAGCAATGACAATTCATACCTCTGTAGACTTTAAAACTGTTGAGTTCTCACTGCTTTAAAATTCTCTGATTTTACAATTACTCTGTAACCTAATTCCTGCCATGGAACCAAACACAGAATTTAGGGCTGGGTCAATCAGTGCGAGCCCTTGAGAAAGAAGCGCTTTGCAGGTTTATAGATCCTTTTTCACCTCCACAAATGCACAGAGGAAAAGCAGAGTTCCTGATGTCAGATTCACTCCATGTAGAGACAATGAGATCACTCAAGAAGACCCTTAGACACCCTGCCCCCATTCTGTGGTCCACATTCTATAAAAAGGGTCCTAAGTGACAGAAGATCAAAAGGAGGCGTTTCATGAACCATCAAAGACATCTACAGAAAACACTGAGTTTTCCTAAGGAATATAAAGAAATTTACAACAAAATTTCATAATTAATTAGCAATTACATCCTCTCCTCATGTACAGTATTTACATAAGACAATAAATGTACTGTATCTCCTTCTCTTACCTGCCTACTGTCCCTCTGGGAGGATGTTGAAGAGGAGGCACTTCTATGGGTTGGAGTGGATGTTTTATGAGCAGGGGATATGCCTTTCTCGTCTGAACTCATTGCTGCAGTTAAGAGTCTAGTTGTGTGCACCTGAGATCATCACAATCATCCCAAATTCACAAAGATGTCACTGATTTTTCAGCTTCATTCCATTTCATGATTCAGGTTTGCCTAGAAAAGAGCAGACAAATATCCAGTGTGATCAAAAAGCTAAAAGCAAAACTTAAGTGTCACATGATTTTTATATAAACTTTTTTCCCAATAGATTAATTATCTCAGGTATTTTGTTACAGAGGCAGAAATCTCGTAAGTATCCACAGTTATTGGTGTCTCAAAAAATTTAAAAGCATTATATTTAAGGTAAATACTAATTTGTGTTAGTGAGAAGAGGAATTCTGGTAAAACAGGACTTTCAGAAGTAAGATAAAAATGTTAGTTTCTAACAAAAGTCTGTTAACAAGGAAAGAAAACACAATCTAAAAATCACATTGTTTTAAGGCAAATTAGTTTTATAAATATTCTGGACTCTAAAAATTATACAAGTAAAGGAATTTCTTTCCCAGTAATTGCAATCCCCCCTTCCCAAAGGAATATGTTATGTTTAAATCTAGCACAACAGACAGTTACAAAATGACTGATGTACATATTATGTGCAGCTCATGAGCCAGAATCTGTGAAAGATCAAAGAATACACAAGCTGTAGTTTGAATGCTGAATATCCCCCAAAGGTGCATATGTTAAAAGGTTTGGTCTTCAAGGTGGGTAAAACCCATAGGACGTGGGGTTTTATGTGAAGTCCTTGGGTGACTAGGAGTGTACTCTTTAAAAAGAGACTGTGGAACCCTGACCTGTTAATTCTTTTTCTTTTGTTTCTTGGCCATAAGGTGAGCAGTCTGCTCATTTTGCACCCCACACCATGGCATCTGACACCTCTACCAAAGTTTTAAAAGCAATGAACCTGCCCTGTCATGAACTGGAACCCCTAAAACTATGAGCCAAAATAAACCTTTTCTTTTTATAGGTTAATTCACTCAAGTATTTTGTTACAGGGATGGGAAGATGAATAACAATCTATCCACAGTATTTTAATCTGCACAGCTATTTCATGGCTACATATGACTTCAGCACTTAATAAGCTTGCAAGTTCCTATGGACTGAAATCAGAGCTGATGGTCAATGTGATTGGTGATAAGTATGATTAAAGCATTATATGTCTAAAGTACAAGATGGTCAAAGAAAGCCAAAGGCTTATTCCACAGGGCCTTATGTTGGTTGAATGATATGAAAGTATGCCCTAAAATTCATGTTTTAGAAACTTAACCCCCAATACAAAATTATTGAGAATTGAGGCCTAAAGAGGGGTCCATAGACCATGAAGGCTGTTCTCCCATGAATGGATTTAACATTATTACAAAGGGTTTTGAGAAGAGTTCTCTCTCTTCTGCTCTTCTACCTTGAGGACATAGCATTCCTCCTGTGACCATTAATCCTGACATGTCGACTTCACTGAATTAAGAAATGCTCAGCAGACTAGTAAAGCACATTCCTGTAAGTGTCTAGATAGAACGTGGAGCTACCTATTCTTCTCTGGCATTGTTCCCCTGTTCTGCTTACTGGGTGGCATAAACTGAGCAGTTTTGCCATACCCATGACTCTCCATCATGATGTTTCTGCTTGGGTACCAGCTAACCATAGACTGAATTCCTTGGAATTATAAGCCAAATTAACTTTTCTTCCTGGAAGTTGTGAGTGTTGGGTATTGTGTCTAGCAATGGGAACTAATATAAAAAGTTTGTGGAAGTCTGGAGTTATTACTGTGAATACACCTGACCACGTGGTTTAGAATGCTTCAGAAGTAGTTTGCAGGGGGAGTTTGGAAAGATTTAAAGATGTAGGCTAGAGAAGTTAGAATGTGAAAAATAGAGCTTGATAGGTGATTCCAGTCAGAGTTTGGAAGACCAGAATGTGGACAGTAACGGGGAGAGTGAAGGCCAGGCTCAGACAGATTCTGTAGGCAACAAGGACTCCACTGGCCGTTGGACTAGAGGCCATTTGTATTACATTCTGGCAGAAAATTTGCCTACATTTTGCCCATGCCCTGAGACTTCGCAAGAGAATGAAATTAAGGGGAGTGGACTAATTAATCTGGTGGAAGAAATTTCAAAGAAGGTCAACACTCTTGCTGTAGGATGGGTACTGATAGCTCTTTTAGTAAAATTTATAGGGTAATTAGGACAAAAAATAGAGCAGACGACTGAAAAATCCAAATTTTAGCCCATAAGAAACCACACGTAAAGTTGAGACCAAAAGAGGTATGCCTACTACAGAGATTAGCAACTTTTAAAAGAAACCAAATAGTTTGGAAAGAAAAAAGGAAAAATATGTCTTGAGGACAGTATGAGAATTAGAAATATTCTACCCACTACAGACTCAAGGGTTCAAAAGTGGTAACCTTTCTTTTGAGAATAGAGTCCCTGAGCATCCTGCTCAAGAACAGCTACCTAGAGAATTGTTTCTCAGGGATTCATTTCACTATGCTCAGCCACTTAAAGACTGCTGTGACCATGGCCCAAGGGGGCCTGGCCACTGCTTCCACTGACAGTACAACTTGACAGTGTCCACATAGTCTAGTTTTAGTGGCATAGAGATCGCAATAGTTGTGGGTGTGAGAGGCCATAACTCAGATTTCAAAGGAAAGCCTCGAAGTCCAAGAAAGAGGTTCCCAAAAGGGCAGTGCATGAAGTTATTGGAATGAAATGAAATGTGCAGTAGAGACCCTAGGAGGCCAGGGATGACAGGAACAAGAAATTTCTGCCAAGGAAAGTTGCAGGTCATAAATGGAATCAGTCTAATGAAGAGTCAGATGGACTGCAATTGGCTAAGTCACAAGTTAAGAGTTCTCAAGCTCTTCGGAATTTGAATTTTACCACCACATGCCCTGGATGCCAGAGACAGATCTACAGGACTTAATATTTGTCCTACTGGGCTTTGGTCTTGCTTTGGTTCATTCTTTTCTCCTTTATGGGACAAGAGTGTTTACTTGTACTATTTTACTTTGAGATTATTTAACTTGTTTTTTGTTTTTACAGAGGTCCATAGTAAACACTTTGTCTTGAGTCTCAGAAGAAACTTGGACATAAACTTTGAGAAATACTGGAACTCTTGAGACTGTTTCCAGTTATACATGGAAAAGCTGTATTACTTTGGGTGGAATTACAAACTTGCTGTTGCTTTTATTTGAAGATTAAGTATGATTTAAGGATATATGGGTGTGAAGCTGACAAGGGACAGACTGTGACTGTTCATCCTAATATGTCAATTTGACTGGATTAAGACAGATCTAGCAGATTATTAAATCATGTTCTTGTGTGTGTCTGTTGATGGGTCAAGGAGGCACGACCTTGAGTACCATTTATGGTCCCTCACTCTTTCCTCTCTGGCATAGCTCTGTTTTGATTCCTGGCTGACATGAACTGAGCAGCTTTGGCCCACCATGCCCTTCTGTCATGATGTTCCTGCCTTGGAGACAGCTGACCATGAAATAAATTCCTTGAAACTGTGAGCCAAGTTAAACCTTTCCTCCTTTAAAATTGGTTATTGTGTTCAGCCATGGGAAAGCTAATGAAAGCATCTTTCCTCTGGAGGACACAGTGTTGAAGACCCTATTCTGGAAGCACAAGACTGGGCCCTAACCTACCAGCCCTCTACTTCTGAACTTTTCAGCCTCCAGCGCAGTAAGAAATTGTTGTTCTTTAAAATCACCCAATCCCAGCTATCCTGTTATGCCAGCTCCAATGAACAAAGACATTAGCATTTTGATTTGTATTGTAAGCACTAGAAGCCATAAAAGGATACAGAATAATCATATTTGTACCCCTAGAGGTTACTTTGGCAGCCATGAGGAGAATGAAGTGGGGGAAGTAAAAAAGAGGAGACACTGCCCAGCCCACATTAGGAAGCAAGAGATTACAGATTAGAGTAGGGGCAGGAAACCTAGAGTCAAGTGCCCCCCTCCATGGCTGACATAGTGAAGGAGTGAAGGCAGGCAGTGTGGGGGACACTCCAAGATTTCTGGTATTTTAAGCAAGAAACAGTAAAGGGAAATTCAGGATTGACAGGAAAGTCATGAATATGGTTTTAGGTATGTTGAGTCTATCTTCAAATGAAGATAAATACTTGAAAAGAGCCCAGAGAAATCTATGCTGGTGACATAAATGTTTAACAGATTATCTGATTGATACAGTTAATGATCCAGTGATTTTGTGTGCAGATTGTTTTAATTCTATATGTACAAGCAAAGTAAATTTGTACAGATCTGTTGTTACATTTTTAAAATCTATAACATGATGTTAATGGATTATCTGATCTCGGATAAGTTAAACTGGGATTTAGCAGTCATTTGGTTATAGGCAATATTTGAAGGAACAATCTTGATAACCAAAAGGGAATTTTTACAAACTTGGAAAACTAGACATTTTAATGACTAAAATTTATGTTTCTTTCTTTACATTCTAATTTTCTTTCTTAAATCATCACAAGAAAGTAAAAGCTACCTACCCTCTAAACTGCAGGACTTTGTCCTGAAACAAATCCAGCCTTTGGATAAATAGAAACATAAACAGCTACGGAGCTCTTTTGTTGGCTAGCAATGAGGTTTCATTTAGTATTGGCAAAAGGCAGCAATAAGCCAACACTTGATAGATGATCATCTGATCTTTTTGTTTTGTGAAGGCAGTTTAATGAGCATGAGTAGAGCTTCTCAAGCCAAGCCCTGGTGCCAGAAAACAGAAAGCAAGAACACTACTCAGATCCTTGATCTAAAGTGTTTTGCTTTCTGGTCCAAAATGTTTTACAAGTAGATGTTGACATTTAAGCCAAAAGTATGGCAGTTTGTGATATGTTTAAGTGCCCCCAAGGGATAAGTGTGAAAACAATCCAACTCATTAAACTGTTAGCCATTTGGAAGTAAATTCAGTTTAGCTACGTTTCTTTTCCTTTTTATTTTTCTGAACTACATATAACTGTACTTTCTTTATTAACACCAGTGTTAACACCTTGATTTTTGTTTTATTTTAACATGACATTTTCCAGGGTAATTTGTTTATAATGAAAGGGCAACAGTTCACTCTAATATCAATTATGAATATATGAAATAATATCAAAATGAAGAA